AAGTTTACCCACCCACACCAACAAAATTTAAAATAATCATAAAACATCAGATTTCAGGAGATGTAGGAATACTTGAGAAAATGGTCTCTGAAATAAGAGACCAACTATCTCTCCAGTAAGATGCAAAGAGCATCGCCTTTACTATCATGTATCATTAGCTTTTAGAAATCCCAAAAGACATCATAGGTCACAGAAAAAGAAAATAACAACTTGAGTGAGAAGCATTATTATGCAGTGTAGAAAGAAAATGGAAGTGCAGAATAAAGCAAAAAAAGCAAAGATATTAAAAATGCAAAATGCTGCTGCCTTTATACTACATTAAAAAATAATAGAAACCAAACTGAAGGGCATTCCAAGCTGTCTGCTACAGACCTGAAGACTATTATTTCACATGTTCTACTGCAGAATTAATATAAATTTTAGAAATAGGAAAAAAAAAAAACTAACCTTAAGATTATCAAAGGTTTTGACAGTCTGCGCCAAGTCACTGACACTCCCTGGCGATGCTGTCCCCTGTCCCCTAGGGCCTGAGGACACCCGTGAGCCGTCAATGACCTCAAAGCCCGAAAGCAAGGCCTCTGAACAGCTGCAATGAGACTCCTTCGCTCTCTGACCCGCTATCAGGTATGTCTTCAAACCTATGGATAAAAATTACAGTCAGCACAGGTTGAAACCACCACTGGTTGAAAAGCAGCTCCATCTTGCTCTCTGTGTAGGACATGCTCCTGAAAAGTTGAGAGTAAAGTGAAAATGTGAATATGTCATATTTTACTACTGACTTCCATCTTTTCAGAGACGCACAGACTCAGAGAGAATGTCTGCCTCCAAGACACACTATTTACTCACATTATGTTTTCTTTAAATGATGGCTCCACGTTTTACCTTAAGGGGCTGAATGAACATTAAAATTTTCCTCCTTGAAAGGGTCACACGATTTCTTCGAGACAGCAGAGCCCATTGATGGTGGACCCTACACATTTCTTGGGTTTATTTTGATCTGTCAATAGCAGTTACTGACATTTATAACGGTTGGTCTAGATGTAAGGGTGATCTAGAGTACTAACCATTTCAGCTATGTCAGGGATTGCAAAACTACCATGAAAAGTGAGACCAACAGGGGTAATTAAAACCTCCCTGCATTCAGATTTATCGAGTGTCTATTTTCTGTTGGATCCAAACATTCACAGCAAGAACATTCTGCTTTTGTTCAGCTGCAGTCTACATGAATTTTATACTTTCACAAAATCCTCATTAAAAAAATAAGTTGGTTAAATAGACAATTAACCTACATCTTTATGATTCTCATTAAAAGCTAAAATAACACACTAATGTATTCTACACTATTGAGTAGCTGTAACAGGTGGGTAGGTCCCTGTTCTGGGTATTCAGAAGAACTATCACTGGAAAAATAATGAGATTTCCAGACAGAACTCAAGGAATTTCTGAAAAAGAAGTAGACATTATTTAAAGAAATCCATTGTTAGCCCTTATTGGAATTTAACCAGGCTACAAATGTATTTGACAGGATGACAATGTAATTTAGTCAATAAACATTTATTTTAGGCCTAGTGTATGCTCTACATGGAGAATAAAATCGAGGACATAACAGGGTCCCTGACTTAGAGAGTTTAAGCTCCAGCAGAAGGTGGTAATGAAAAGCCATTGTGGAAGGATGTGATTAAGGGATGATGTGTCTACAATGGCTGACCCGCACAGTTTTTTACACACAGTACATATTTAATAAATGCTTTAAAATATGGAAGATTGCTGGGAATAGGCAGTGTTTTAAGTCATAATGTGACAAATGTATCAACCAGATAGTCTCTGAGCAGTGAGCATGCCCTAGGTCCCTGGGAGCAACAGGAACACCTGAAATAGAAGTAGAAAGAAGAGGCTGGTCCATTAAAAAGCAAATTGGACCCACTTGGCAATAATAAATAAATGCTTTAAAATTAATAAATCAAATAACTGAGGGACTAATCAATACTCCTTAATTATTTTATAATTACACCATTTCATCACTTACTCTTTCTTCATCTCCTCTCTCCTCATAAAAATATTATATGGTGTATCTTTTTAAGTTAACTGTTCTGAGAATTTGGCAAGAGTTCTTAAGACACCTAGAGACATCCTAAAGTATAGTCAAATTCCAGGTGGAAATCAGAAGACTTAGATAATTTTAGATGCTAACTGATCCCAAAGGAGATTGTTACATGTTCACTCTTAACTAAGGTCCTGAAGTTCCTTTTTTTCTCCAGCAAATATACACACCCCAGTTTATGTATAGAATCGATCACAGTTATAACTAATTGCATGTATAATCCTGAATCAGAAACGTCAATTGGAATACAGCAAAGAGTAGAAGTACCTTTGTATGAATTTCTCAGGCTTCTGTCACAGACAACACTAAATTGGTTATGTCATTTTGCCTTGGGAGAGTCAAAAAACGCAACCTCTGTGGGCTCACCAGAGAGAAGTCCTATTTCTGACCTGTCTTGGAGTCTCCGGGTTGGCAAGGCTTATTCCTGGTTCATCAGAGACGTGCACAGAAAGGCTGGTCTCTGGAGCTGCTCTAATGGTCTCTCCCCTGACTCCCCAGCATGGCAGGTAAATAGCCTGGAAGCCAGTGGGGAGAGAGGTCCGAGGGAGCACAAGAACACATGCTGCCACTGCAGAGGGCCACCTGGGAGACCAGAAGGGAAAGGACATTTTTTGATTGCAGGGAGTGAGAAGCTGCTGCTGACTGGAGAGGTTTTCCATTACGTCTGCAGCTGGCCCTGACCCCAGAATAGCCTTCCCCGAGAAATGCCCCTGGCTCCGGGCTCCCCTGGAAGCCGGGGAAGCCAGAGAGGCCCTGCTCTTAGCAGTCAAACCTAGGAAGGGCCCTTGGTCAAGTATCTGCCTATCCCCTACCTATGCAGCTCTGGACTTGCAAGAGCCGGTGAAGGAGGCCTTTCCTGGAGGTGTGACTGCTGAAGCAGAGAAAAGGCTGAGCCAGCAGACCTGAAAGACCACAGCCTGAGTCCCACTGCACATACATGATGCTGAAGCCAGCACTTCAAAGCAGGAGCACACCCGCCTCCAGCAGGATGGAGCAATAGCACCAGCTCTACAGTCTCAAACTCGGGTGCCTTGGGGTGCACACCTCTGAGGTTTCTTATTGTTACTGTAAATTGTGATCAACAAGTCACTGTTCATTCATCGCTTATTAAGCACTTCCTGTTTACCAGGCACCGTGATGGATGCTGGGAGGATAAGCATGAACATGTCAGCCATGACCCCTAGCTATATGAGGCCATCATCTGAAGAGGGATCTAGACAGCAGGCAGATGTGACTGCCCAGTCCCAAGACGTGGCAGTGAGCATGCTCTGGGAAGCAAAGGACGATGGTACCTTGCAAAGACTCAGAGGTGAGGGAAGGCCTCCTGGATGAAGTACCCTCCAAGATAAGGACTGAAAGATGAAGAGAGGTCAGCCCAAAGAAAGCCAGCAGAGCCAGGGGCTAGGGAAGCCATCATCAAGTCATAAGTGCTACTAGTCCATGAACATGCCTTCCAGAAAGGGAGCCTTTGGCAAGCATAGTCGAAGGATGGAAGTGAGTTTAGTGTGGCTGGAACAGAGAATGTGTATGGGGGAATAGCCAGAAATGAGCTGGGGCTGTGCAGGTGCCATGTAGACCAGCTCCAGGAGTCTTCATGCTGGAGCAATTGTGGGGATGGAGGGAAAAGTGGTGAGCAGACACAAGGCTGAGGAAAAGCCAGGGAGCTGTGAAATTGCCTGCCACAGTGGATGGGAAGAGAGTCAAGAAGTAATGGTGAGAACAAGAACCTACTCCCTCAAAAATATAGCAATAGCAATGCTTCTACGCCAGGCTTTGGAGTGATGGGTAAGGGCCTGGCTTCTGCAGAGCAGCCTCAGATTCAGGCTCCACTACCTCCTCACTGGAGTAAGATATCCCAGTGCTCTGCATCTCTGTTTCCTCATTGTGAGGTGAGGCTAATAGGACTCACTCCACGCAGCTGACGTGAGGATTAAACAATTAACACACGCAAAGGCTTAACAACAGTGCCTGGCACATAGTAAAAATTCACATTAGCTACTATTATCAATGTGGATGTTTGACTTGTTTATCACTGGAGTCTTTTTTATGCTCCTTCTATGTACAAAAGCATTTGCTGAACAGTTAAATCAATAATTGCTCCAAATTTGTTTCTAACTTGAATTTTTATTTAGGGAGCCCCCAGTGACCAACTTGTATTGATGACACAATACTTCTAGTGTTCCCAAGGTCGAACATACATATGTGTCCATGGCAAGCAAAACTGGTGAACAACTTAAGTATTTTTTTACTTATGCTTTGCTATGGAAAGCTAAGTTTAAAGCGAAAACTTTGTCTAAACTGGAGAGACACTGGCAGAGCTTAGATGCTGGATGTGAAATATCCAGGAAATGTATCAGGGTTGGGTGACTGAGTTCCAGCCTTGTCAAGTCTAAGTCAAGAGAGTTTATAAGAGATAAAGATTTAATGAGTAACCACACACGTGGGCCCTGGGGTCTAAGTTCATTAGAATGGCTCTTTACAGCAGCTAAATGATTTATTTTGTTAAGTATCGTGTAAACAGGAGAATAATTAATAAGATTTCTTATATTCTTTCCTGGTAATTTTAAACCTCACCAGCACTGACGCCTTTTACTAGTTTAATTGAGTACAGAGGATGGGGGGTGGGGTACACTGGGCTCCTATCTGATGGAGGAGCTTGCCTGTGGCTGCTTGAGTGACATGGTTAATATTCTTAAGCCTTCTTAAGTATATCATCGATTCTTTGAGGACAAAAACTGTGCCTTGCACACAACCAGTGCTTAGTTTTGGTGAAGTGAGTGTAATCTAAGTGAGTGCCATAGTCTAGTTTGGAAAAAAAAAGACTATTCTGGCCTCCACTCTATATCATGATCTTTTTCCGTGGGATGCTTGCTTTGGAGTGAGATATCCTCAATCACCAAGAACCAAGGACCTGACTGTCAACTCAACAGAGGAGAATTATCAGGAAGGAAAGGATGTTTGGAGACACAGCCTTGGGAGCTAGCAGCATAACAAATGCCTAGAAACTTGCATTACCAGTAATTTGAAATAATAAACATAAGTTTGGGCTAGTTTACGAACATTCTAAAAAGTTATTACACTTTGTATTGCATTTTTCCTCATAATTAGGTCTGTAATGGCCCAAGAGCATGAGGATTATTTAACATAAAATTAGTCAATAAGGAAAATAATGATGAAATGTGACCTTAAATCTTAATCTCCCAAATAATCTGGGCCTACAAAATTATAGATAGGGTATTTTATATTATCTATTGCTCCTGATTAAGAAGATCAAATGTTTTGGTGGAAAAAAATTAACATTTTTCACCTTGTTGACATTAAAACAGTCTGGATGGGTTTAAGCCCTTTCTAGTCCTACATAAAGTCTAATCACAAGGACTGATTCATCCTTGTTGTCCCAACACTTGACAATAAATCACAAGTCCCTACAGCAAATGGTTACTAGTGAAACTTAACATCTTTCTAAAAAACGGAGTTCCAAGCAATAAAATGAGACAGATTTGCCCAAGCAAGTAAAAGAAACAAAGGTGGGCACCA